TCTCTGATCACTGAAATAGTTCATTATTGCACCAAGTAAAATTTTAAATTTCTGTGCTGTTATTTTAAGTGTGCTTTTACTTGTATATTTTTCTGTGGTGGTTTGAAAAAGAAAAATGTAGTGATGCAGGGAAAATTGACTATACTGTTTAATATTTGATTTCTTCATTTGGTAAGTACAAGCTGAACTAATGATAGTTGTTTTAGTTCCATTTTTTGTTGTTTTTGCCGAGTTTTGGCAGTTGACTGTAGATGTCATCTTAGCCTTTTTACAGAAGTCTTGACTCCTGATTCATGCAGTGGCTTTCTGCTTGCCTTTTCTCAGCATGTTACTACTTTTTCTAAAACAGAGGCAGTGTATTAAATTTTACCAAATGCTCTTCTGATAGCATAAGTTTGTTTAAGAAGTAGTGTTTCCAGCTGCTTTAACAGAAAAGGACATTATTGACTCAAGCATAAAATAATCCCAGCCCAATCTTTTTTGCATGTTGGTTAAGCATACTTGGTGCACTGTTCTTATTTCAGCTGCTGATGTGGCTCAAAGTGGATGACTGAGTTATATTTATGACAAATCTCCTCACTGTACATCATTTGGAACTAGCTGTTCATTATTCTTTAGCATTCACTGCCTTATTATTGAAGAACATACTTCACAGAACTCTTGAATTAACCTTTATATGATTGAACATTGGATAATTATTCCATGTTATCTGAAATAAAATGCTTTACAGACTTCTCTCAGATGCCCCACAAGAAGTAAAATATAAGAACATGGGTTTTTATTTTCTGTAAACTATTCTATTCACAACACAGCAAAATGTAAATTTTATCTAAATTTATGGGCTATGGAAGACTTTTCCAAAGTCACTACTCAGTGCTTGAGTCAGACACCACAGGCTATTGCTGAGATGAGACTGAATATTTTGACCAGTCTGATTAAAGAAATCTAAATGCATTTGAGTGTTAATAGTATGAGGATAGCAGTATTTCAGTATCTTTTTCTTACCTTTCTAGAATTGTGCAGCTCTGCTTCAGTAATGGACAACTCGAGCCAACTTAGCTTTTATGACACTTTGGTTAAAGAATAGCAGATATATTTTCAGTTTGTGCTGCTAGGTGGTGGTGACTTAAACATTCAGTGATAAATTTTGGGCCTACTCTTTTGTTTCTAAGAGAGTTTCTGAAAGCAGTGGGGTCGTGTTTGGATCTGTGGTGTTTAGTTCAATAAGCATATTTCTGATAGCTGTATTAATGCTGGGAGTACAACAGCTGTTTTATCAGTATTAGTGAACAACAGCTGATTGTTGTGTGATGTGTATGTAAGAGACAGCTTGCTAGCAGACAAGTGGGTTCTTCTTGTCTGTCAGTACAATTAAAGGAGTTGCTTGTAAATGTGTACTACTGACTTTCACGCTATTCAAGTCCTATGTTTCTGAAGGGCAGAAGTGTTCTAAAGTAAATTGCTGATCAGTGTTAGTATTTGCCGTAGTGGCTTCTCAGTCTTTGTAACGGCAGCTCGTTTGATCTCGGGCTGGAAGGATGTATCAAGTAAATTTCTGAAGAAGTTTCCTCAGTATTTTTATTAATAACTTCAATCGTGAAATGAAGTGTATACTTCTTAGTTTTGTAGATACTATGAGTCTGAGTGGAGGCAGCAAGTGCTTTGGGAGCAGAATGCAGAAACGTCTCTGACTGCTGGGGTAAGTTAGGTGAAGGACCCGAATAGCAGGTAAAAAGACTTAGGGCAGATCTGGTAGGAGGAACCTTTCTAGTGATGGGACATGTTGCAGAATAATATGTTAGTCTAGAATAGTATATAATAGTCTAGAATATAATAGTCTAGAATAATAATGTTGGTGTAACTTAAGTTGGAAAGCGAGCAAGGAACAAACTGGTGTTTGGTGACCAAGCTGTTCATGGAAGGTTTAAGCATAGTAAATCCTGCCTGTGGCAGCAGGGTGGTCCTTTTGACATCCCAGTCTCATTTTTTGTGATCTGTTTTCAATTTACCAAAAATATTTTCCTGAGAATAAAGAGTGTCCTAAAGCTACTGAATATTTGCCAGATCATCAAAACAGAGCTTATGCTTGTAATTATAATGTCTTTATTGTAAAATACATTCTAGGACAAATTTATTGGCAACGTCAGAAAGCTAGCATCTGTAAGAGTATTTATGCAGCCTTGTAAAACATGGAACTGGCAACTTAAAGCTGGGTAGGCTATGTACTCTAAAATACAGTTTTAAAAAAAGATGTTAATATTTGTCCTTTCCTGATCTGATGTTTGTTTCACCAGTTTAATTATGGCTAGGGAGTTTGTGCCTATTAGAAGTTAGTAAGGTTAATAATGAAAATACTCTATTTTCCCATGTGTAGTTGCCAAACCAATAATACGTACAATCAGATGAGAGAAGGTGTTTTCTTGACTTTGGTGGTGTGGAAGTCACTATCTTCAATAGTTGCTTTTCTTGGTAGTCTTTAGCTGTAAACCTGTGAAATTGGTTAAGTAGTGTTCTAAACATTTGTGATTCTGTTGCTCCTGTTCCTTCATCAAAACTAGCTGGAAGAGTAAGCCTAAAACAGTTTTTCTTTTCTGGGCTTATTCAAATTTACAGATATGTTGCTGCTGACTCCGCACTCTGAGTGTTGTTGGTTTGTCTCAGGCCTCTGTCTTTACCAGTTCACTATACTGCTTTGTAGGAGAGGGATTGACTCATCTGACAGAGCAGCACTATCAAAAACCTTTTTAGAGCTTTTAGTTGAAGAACTGAGAACATAAGGAAGACTTGAATCTGCTTCTAGAATAATTTTTGTGGGAAGAAATAGACACCCAGTATCAGTGCGCTGTGGACAAAGCTGTGTTAAAAACACCTTTTCAGTCCTCTGATACTTGGTGATCACCAGGTCTTGCTGAGCCCTTGATTTATGTGCAGAAAGTAAAAGGTAGGGCTGTTAGTGAGTTAAGAATAAATTCTTTTCATGGCAGTTGGATAAATAATACTGTTAGGAAGCTTGACTAGTTTTCTAAAAATAGTTAGATGAATTTATTATGCAATCATATTGTTGGTGCCTTTGTCCCATACCTAATAGTCAGTTCACCAATAACTTGGCAATACTTCTTGGGTCTTTTGTTAGTTCTTATTTGATATAAACCAAATCTCTCCCTTTGTTTTTCAGACTCTTTAAGTGCCTTGATCTGAAGATTGTTGTTGTTGTTGTTGTGCTGATCTTCCAGTATTGATACCTGTCTTGATCCTTTCTAAAGATTTCATGATTCTTCTGCTTGGAGATGAGAACTGTATCTGATGGAAGGGAAAAAAAAAATCTTGCTGCAGTCTGCTCACATTTAATTTGCTGTTTCTTAATTTAGTGTCTCTTGTATTGGTTCATCTGTAACCATACTGTTTTCTGGTTGTTGCTGAACATGATTAATCAGTAAAAGTGAATGTGGTTCCTATTAGAAAGGGAAGCTGTTTTTGTGATGGTTCTGTGACTTTAGAACTTCCTTGATTTGTTTTTTATTAGACTCATGTAGTTGGATTCTTTAGAAAAATTCTCTGGAATTTTTGTTGAGGTTAACTTAGAAAACAGTGTTGGATGACTTCAACAGAGTGACTTATAACAAGTTATTTGGGCTAGGCGTACCTCTAAACTTGTCTGTGTTTAATGATAGTGGATTTTTTGCGTGTTACCTTACAGTTTAACTCTGGTATAGGAGGTACTTAAACTGAAGCATGAGCTCACAGCATAAAAAAAGAACTCAAAGCTCAACTAAGTGCAGTTTAATATGTTAGCCTTTCTTTTAGAAGCTGGAACATTCTCGTCTGTCACTGGGAATCTGCAGTAGCCTGGTTCAGGCCAGAATACAATAATAATTATTAGTTATCAAGTTCAGATTCCATGGCTGTTAGTAATACTTACTTGTGTTACAGCAGCCTTAGATTAAAGCGAACTATGTCTATGCTCACTGACTAACAGATCTGCACTCTGTTGTGCAGAGATGTGAAATACACTTTTATTTGGGTGTCACTATGAAATGTGTGTAGGTGTTTATTATGTTTTCACTAGCTGAATTTCTAATAGTGTGTATATTATACTTAAAATATTTTTGAATCATTGGCAATTTTGCAGTGTCTAGCTGCACAGCATGATTCAGATACCGTTTTACAGTTCAGGCAATGTTTCATCCATTTCTTTCCTTTCTGAGCATAGTTCAGGTTCAGGTAATATAGTTCACATTATCTTGCATTCTCTTGCTTATTGAGAGATGTTTTCCTACCTGTGAGGAGAGCGTGGGGTAGAAAAAGTATTACTGGGTTTTAGTCTTAGGCCATTACTTTCTCTTACCCATTTTCAAACTATAGAATTTTACTGGATTTTGACACTGTTTCTGGACAAGTAAACTCTGTTTCATTGCATCTAGAGATAATATGGGGTTTGTGGTGGGCCTGAGCATCTAGTTTTTTCATAAGTAAAAATACAGCTTCTGAGACTAACTTTTAGAGACTAAATAAAAAAATCAGCTTCTTCAAGGAAGCTAGTGAAATAGCTCCCGTAATACATTCTAGATGGTGCCAGAAAGTACTTCAAAAAGCTAATTTTGCCACAGCTTTCTGGATCAGACCTTACACAAGATGCTTCATCCCATTTATAAGAGGAAATATGTTACAGTTGTATAAGTGTACAGTATACAGTTGTATAAGAGGAAGGAGTGTTACAGTTGTATTTTCGTGATACCTGTGTTGTATTTGATTAGTGTGACACTTTGATAATAAAAGCACAAATGTGATGCTATAAACAAGATGAGGATAGATTCTAAACCAGATCTGTGTGAGAAATTAATACCAGAAAACAGAAGGGAAATAATTATCAAAACACCACAAGTGTAATCCTCTTGTAACATAAGTATCTGAAGAGTACTCATTTCCTGTTTTTCCAATTACAGGGACTTGCCATGAGGTGCTGAAGCCTTGTTTCATTGATTCGGAGAGACTGGACCTAAATGGCGCAGCATGACTTTGCTCCAGCCTGGCTTAATTTTCCTACTCCACCATCATCAACAAAGGTATGTTCTTCATTGTTCTTTTCGACAGGAACTCTCATTATTAGAGAAGTCTAAATGTCATAACCTCAATCATAGTAAAAATGCAAATCTCTTTGTGAATAGGATGATAACATATCTAGCAAGTCTTGTGGTGATTTAAGTAGTTGTACTGTCGTCGTCAAGCTTATACCTCCAGTAGAGTTTTTTGCTTGAGCAGCTGAGTGTTTCTGGAAAGAAGCATTGTGCCTAGCCACGTTATCAGAGATGTTGATGGATTGAGGTTGTCTTCATCAGGAGTTTAAAATTAGTTATAGTATTTTGTGCTAGAATTACCAAGATAGAGGCATGTGCTTGATGTTCTTGCTTCTGTTTTTGCTCTGTATCCTATAAATTTCACAAAGGTGTTAGTCTATCATCCAAGTGATTAAAAAAAAAAAAAAAAGCGTGTGAAATAGACTTTTTGAAATGACTTTTCAGTTGCTGGTGGGATGCTTGTTACTACTGGTGGAGTGTGGCATTTTTGAATAGCTGTGTATCTTCCTCCGGCTGTTTCATCTAGACTGTTAATTTAGACAATGGCACAGTTAGCTTGGAAACAGGAAATAGCAGTCTCTGAATTGTTAGGATTTGTAAATATTCTAGGAAGTCATAAGCATGTCTATCTCGTAGGTGTTTGGTTTTTTTTCTGGCCTATCCTTCTACGCTTTCTTAATTTGTGTGAATGCAGAAGCAGAGACAGCACCGGGTATTCAAACTCCTGTCATGTATTTCCCTATTTGTAGATGTGTCGTCTTCATTATAATCTTTTGCATGCAATATCCATTTCTGCAGCTATGAGAGTGGCATTGCCTTACTTTCAATGTGTTTATTTAAGATTCTTGCTGTCTTTCATGATCATGGAAAATGTTTAGCCTTTATAAACTTATGAAAATAAGCTCGTGCATTGTTAAAGGCACAGTTAGCAGTCAGTATTAGTTGTGTTCCCATTGTTTTGCTTATATATGTCTACACACACATACACACATGCATTTTTTAAGTCAGATTGTTGAATGTCCTTATTCATGTTGCTCTGTTTATCTTCTACACTGACCTAGGTAGCTTTTTTGTTTAGTATAGTCTTACAAACAACTGTCAGTTGCTGTTCTGGGAACATCACGCCTATCTGTCCAGGATGGTTCCTGCGATCCATTTGTTTTCATTGTACTTGATTTCTGATATATTCAACTCTTTTGATCTGCTTTTTCCAGTTTAATACATTTTCAATTGAAAAAGTAATCGGAGCTTAGTTTAATACGGTGTCACAGTTACAGAACAATCTTCACTGCATATTTCAAGAATCTGCTGGAAGAGCTTTACCTGCATGCCCAAAGTGTCAGTACAGCAGGATAAACTTAGGTTCCAGAACTACTCTAGTACCACTCAGATGTTTCTGAGGTATGGGTTGTATTTGTCACCTCATTCCTGAATTGTGGGATTTTTCACTGCAAGCGTATGTTGTGGAACGTGTTCTCTTCCAACATTCTTTGCCTCAAGGAGTTTAAACAGAATTTCTCTCATCTCTTCCAAAAGCTCTGTGGTTGTATGCTTTCTCCATTGTAGTCTTTGTGCTTCATTGTTTGAAATGCAACTTACTTCCTTGCATTACATCAATGGTCCCTCAGTGGTCAGCGTTCTGTGATGTCCAGCACATTTGGATATTAAAAACTTGCAAAACAGTTTTGGTTCGATGTGTAGTAATTCTTAGTTTACAGAATAAGGCTTGTCCTGTCATTCCTCTACAAGACAGGTCTCAAATGTTGTGGCCTCCATCCCCTCCATTTCCTACAATAGACTTCTATTTCTGCTTCCCATATATGAACAAAGCAGCTGAAGAGAAGAGCAGATAAAAGGTGTGGTGATGGAAGAGTAAGGATGGGGTGAGGAAAGCAAGGTGTCACATGTTTCATGCAGTGGAGCTGGGGTGAGGCTATGGTATCAACAACAGGTAGACTTGAGAAGGATAAACTGAACTCTGCCTGTTCAGTTTTTATTTCTGTCAAGAGGCAGTTCTGGGAATTGCATCTTTAGGAGCTTGGTTTTCCCGCCTTGATCCTGGGTAGCCAAGTCTTTTCCTTACCTAGGTGAAGGCTAGCATTATAAAAAGCTTATGCCGGGAAACTGGGTTTGTGAATCAGCTTTCATAATGTGATTGATACAGATTACATCTTGACTGAAATCCATCTCACCTGTTGCTGATGATTTCCTCTTAAGGATAAGCTTTTGTCATCTTCCTGTCACTTACATAGCAAAGTTCACCTGAATAGCTGGGTATCCATTGCTCAGTAGCTTTCGTTAGGGTCTGGAACTACTGTATTTGTGTCAGTGCAGTGTTGCGGTTGGGCACACGGAAATGGGAAGGTGTTGTGAATAGCGAAGCCACCTTGGGATATGGGCAAAATCCTTTTCAGAAAGGATGGCTGTAAAACGTGTATGGGGAGATAGGAGACAGACTGGTAAACTAAGTTTTTGCGAGCTTACTTTCACTTCATGTTAAGCGGTAAGACTTCTTTGACTTCAAAAGAATCTGTATTTCTTTCTTTCTTGGCTGGCTGAACCTAGTCAGATAATTCTTCAACTTCCAGAAATTGCCAATAGATTTCCTGTTGATTACAAAGTTTACTGTCATCTCTGCGACAAGAGACTTGATAGACTGATGTCTCCATCATGTGGGGAAAATGCAAACTGCATGATCTTTGCACAGAATTTAGCGACTAGGTTCATTATATCATGTACAACTCAAACACTATATATAAAATGCTGTAAGTTACACTTTGTGAAAATATGGTTCTTCAAAGTTCATAGAAAAAAAAATGAAAGCTAAACTCCAAAAGCAATGTTAGAAGGTGTTGTATGTAAATGAACACATGAAGCTATTTTCTAAAATTTCATCTATGGTCAACAGATCTGTAACTTTATGAGATTTTTGGCAGCTTATTCAAAATTTGTTTATAAGGATTAATTTCTTAAATATTGATATTCATTATGATAATTTTTGAACTACTTAAATCTATTGATAATTTCTTATGGTTTTCTGGGTTTTTTTTCTTCTCCAGCTTTGTCAAGGAAGTAATTCATTTCCCAAGTCTCAAATTGAGAGGGCAAACCCTTTCCATTTGACTTCTGTATGGTTTGGAAACACATGGTTTGTCTTTCAAACATACCTGATGCTTACTTGAGTTTGAATTTTAAGCAGTTAGTTTTGAACCGCAGCTTGAACTCTGCTGGGCCATTTTCAGTAGAACTTGGGTGTCCTTTTTTTTTTTTTCCATGCAGTGGTCTCTTGCAGGGGTGGGGGAGGTGCAAAGAAGGAAATAGTTTTCTTCAACGTGTTTTCCAAAGTAGTTAAACCTATTACTGTGTTTTCCTTTTTTTTTTCCCCTGCTCCCTTTGATCAGTGGAGTACTTTAAATATTAATATAGCTTGATTAGACGTTAGTGAATAGTTATTGAAATAAACTTGAGCCGTTCATTTTCAGACATACACCATTACTTTTTTTCCTGAATGTTAGTCTGGAGAGGGAGTGAGCTTCAGGCAACGAGGTTGATACTTCGGGTGCAGTAAAGTTGATGCGCGCTGGAATCATTAAGCTTAGTCTGCTGACACAGTACATTTCCACGCAGCTGTGCATTATGCATTTGTAGCTCTCACAGCCCTGGGATGTGTTTGACCTTTTGTACACGTGCAATACAATGGACATATATGCGCACAATAAGTCTGATGGGAGGGAAAGGGGCTTTGCTTCATCTGCATGAAAGGCTGGCTGAGGGGCAGGGAGGTGCTGGGAGACACAGCACTTTGCTGTTCCTCACTGGGAGATGTGTGGTGTGAACAACAGTAAGGCCAAGCACCACTTTTGCAGAACAAAAACTTATTCTTGAATTTTTATGGTGTAACAGTGAAAGAAATGTTTTGGTGTAAAAATAGTAAAGCCAGATAGAAGTAGTAGGGAAGACAGCTGCTGTAAGACATGGTCTTTTTTTGGTTTAATCTCCTTAGGTATGAGTTCTAGTCAGGATGTAATTTTGATTTCTGAGTGCTGTTCTCACTATAAGGTTTAGTTTATAAAGAACTTCCTACTGATATGTTAAAGGTTTATTTACTTAAAATTTCTACAATGCCGACTTACAAGCTGATAATTTGAAGTATGTTTGTGAATCTGTACGCTTTTGACTCTAGGTTTTGTTTGTATTTCATAACAAGTTGCATTTGCCTTAGTAAGTTACATTGACAAGATGAATAAATTGGGCCTTTTTTGGGTACCACTGCCTCTGGTGAAAATGGCTCCTTGCTTTCTATGGAATGCATGCATGTAGTCTCTGACCACCCAAATTAAGATCCCAGACTTCTTTTCTGCCTACCAAACTGTGATCTCTTCTCCTTTTATTACCTTTTTTTATTTTTCCTCTGCTGCAACACATGTCAGTTGTTCTCTGTTCTGCTGCCACAACAAAATAGACACTTGGGTTTTTTATGTTGTGTCACCAGCATGGTCCTCAGTACTGTTTCAGTGTCCTGGAGCAGAACACAGAGCTTCCACTTTGCTAGCATGGGAGATGGTGACATAGCTCTGAATGTACGAATACTTGAGGACCTCCATATTGTCTGTCATTCAAAGTCGTTTTAAAAACAAATTGTATGTACTGTGAGTAATGTGCATGTTACAGTTCTGATAATTCAGTTTTGTTATTAATCAGATATCTCAGGTCTACCACTTATGCTTCTTTACAGTCGTCACTGAACTTTGAAAAACATTCTGAAAACTCTCCGTGGACAGAGAATCGTCATGAAGCAAATCGCAGAAGACACAACTCTTCAGATGGATTTGATCCTAACATTGGTTGGTCTAATGGAGGTATAATTTAGCTTTCATGGAACACTTTGAATAAGTTTACATCATTGCTTAGTAGCACTAGCTAGAAAAGAAAATCTGATGATAATAGCTCTGCTATGCTAAATTCTTATTCTGTGGTAAAATAGAGATAATGGAAAGACAGATCTTCTGGGAGAGGATGTGATGACTAAGGGTTGGTTAAAGTAGTGTGATACCAGGTGTATTTCTCTCTTAAGAAGAATAAGAGTGTAGAGTTAATATTCTAGCCAACAACATGTAAACGAGCAGCCAGTAAAGGAGATTGACTTGTCTTAATGTTGGCCTACTATCCTCTTTCTCTGGCACTCTTTGCAAGATTCTTTCCTGCTGCTTATGTGAATGAAAACTTAAGTTTACTATGCTATTGCGTCCCAGAGTATAGAGCAGCTGTCTTCTCTAACAATTTTGTTCTTTTAAAATCGTTTGTAATTACATTTCTTTAAAATTTAAAAATCTAAGGGCATTTGGGGAGAAAAGAGAAGAATGGTTGGCGTTCACAAGGCAGAAGTGGTACAGAAAATACAAACCATCGTGGGGGATACCATGGTGGAGGTTCCCGCGCTCGTACCAGCACTTTCCACTGTGGAAGAGGCCAAGGAATGCATGAAAACAATGTACCTGATAATGAAACTAGGAAAAAGGAGGACAAAGAAGTACCCAAGCAGTTTGAGGCTGAGGATTTTGTAAGTTAATTGTAATCATAATGAACAAGGTTTCATTGTTTCTGTAAGTGCCATTTTGTCCATTACAAGGTACTTCACGAGACTTCACCAGTTTCACATCATCATATGAGGGATCACCCTTAGGTAAGGGTGTTAGTCACAGCCCATAGGTAAGAAGGTGTTTGTCCACCAACTTGTTTCTCCTTTTATATGCAGTTTTTATCATTACCTGGTTATTATTGATACTTAAGTGTTAAGTGAAACTACAATTGGATTCCAGTTTACTGTGGAATGTATATGTATTAAAATCTATGTAGTTATTGGAAATGTGAAGTACTAACAAAGTGATCTTTCTGCCAGTGGCCCTTTAAGATTCCATGCTTCAACCTGGAAATGTAGGATTGCTTCCTATTTGAAGAACTGTACATTGCTGTTTTTTGCTTTGTCTGGACAGTTCATGTAATGGTATAGATTGCTGCTTCAGGTGTTTTTTTGAAGCACAGCAAGAGAGCATTGACATTTTGGGTTGCAGGGGGAAGTGTCTGGTCTGTTTCCATTTAAAAATCTTTGACAGCAGAGGTCATACTGTGAATATTACTGTGATTCTTTATTTCATTGGTTCCAGAATTCAAGACTTATTTTTTAAATAATGATAAAACTTTTTCAGCCGTCTTTGAACCCTGAATATGAGAGGGAACCAAACCGGAGTAAATCTTCAGCTGCAGGTGTGTGGGGTGAGTATTTTTGGTGTTTCTAAATGTAAAAATGTAGCAGAGATCTGAAGTTGTTTTATTGCAAACATAGGAATTTTTTTTTAGAGTTACAAAGGTATAGATTTAAATTATAAAGGTATATATTGAAATTGAGGGAACTTCAATATTGTTACAATGTAAATCTCTTTTTGTTAGAGGTGTAACACTTCTATTTGAACATTAATCCGTTGGTCTGTAGATGCAGCCACAAGTAGAATAGTTTCCCAGAACAAGTATACATCTTCTTGGTAAAGATGTGAAGAATTTATCTTCACCTTTATTTTCAAGAGGAGATACAATGAAGGTGTGTCACCACACAAACTAGCGATGTGATTGCTAGCTGAAGACTTGGTAGAAGAATGCTTCTGACTGATTGGGGCTGTTGGAAGAATTTGGAGAGAAACCTAGGAGGGCTGGGAAGAGAACATAAGCTTGCAGATGATTAAGGTTTCTCCCTGGAAGTGAATGTCTTAAGCTGTTCATTGTGTTTACAAATTACTTCTAACAAATCTGATCCTGAGAGTGGGCCTTGAACTGAACTGTAGTCTGGGATTATTTTCTCATCTCTACCTGATTAAATTTGGCTACCACTTTACAATTCTATGGGCTTTATGCAGGTAATTGTTCGCCCTTACAAAAGGTGGCAGCTTTAGACTGCACAGGTTTTAAAGTAATAAACTTAGTCAATTTAAGAACCTTTCTCTTTATGAAGAAATAGCTTTAAATGGAAAACATGCTGCTTAATCTGTTGCTAATACTGAGATCTGAAACTTACTGTTCATTTTAAATAGTACTTTAATTTGCTGGTTCTTTTTCTCATACTTCCCCAGTATGTTTTGCACATTTAGGTTACACTAGATGTAGGCCAACCCCTCAATATGAATATCTAACTGCTAAGAACTTTTGCAGCAGCCTGAACAATTGGATTGCTTTCCAGTTTTGTGTGTTTAGCAGCTTTCATGTGAAAGTCTGGAATTATAATTTGCTTTAAATAAAAGAGCAACAGTAATTAAATTCTTTCCTAACCAAGTTGGGAAAAATTACATAGCAATTTGAGTGTTTTACAACCTTTGCAACACTCTGAGTGTGGCTGTTGGATGATGTGGCTCAGTTTGATCTGAAGGATTGTAGATCATATCATATCTCGTAGATCAGATCATATCATATCTCGTAGATCAGATCAGATCATATCATATCTCGTAGATCGTATATCATCATGTATCGTATCTCGTAGATAATTTTGATATGAAAACCATAATCTCTTTTGAAGATCAACAACTAGCAGTATTTGGATTTTAGATCTGCAAACAAGAACAGTTGTAGCTGGCTTCTATGAAGAATATCTTTACTTTCCAAAAGTAAAATTCCTTCATTGCCATGTGAAATACTTTACAAGTAGCGGTTGTAGAAAATGGAACAGGACCTACGTTTATCTAGGTTTGTATGTTGTGTAATTTGCAGAACTAATACCGGACTGAGTTCCTGATTTATGCCTGTTTTCTCTGGACCATATGGCTATCCAGTACCTTATGAAGTAGAAACATAAGATTGTATACACATGCACATGTATGTGTATATGCATTTCTTTTTTTTTTTTTCCAGAGTACCCTTTGAATCCTAAATCTAGATCTCAAAGAATGCTGGTCATTAAAAAGGGCAATACAAAAGAACTGCAGATATCTGGATTCCCAGTAGTTGGAAGTCTTCATTCACAGCCAGTAAGGGTTGGAAGTGGCCCAAGTGTTTATAAAGGATTGGTCCCTAAACCTGTCACTCCACCTGCGAAGGTGAGTCTTGGATACTGGTGGCATGAACAACGTGCTAAAAAAACCCAAACTGTAATTCTGAATGTGCTTATTTCACCCTTGGGAGTAGTGTTCCTAGAGTATTATGCTTTCACCTCTTGTGAAGCACAACACACCCCTGAATTGAATGGAAACAACTTTTCTAATTTTTCTTTTTAAACTACGCTGTAATTAGGTCTCCCTTTGTTTCTCATTTACCTTTTTTGAGGACTGCAGGAGCTGTCCAAGGAGAGCGAAAAGGATGTTTTTAACTTAAAGAACAGTAATGCCTTTTGTATATATGATTTTAACATAAAAATAGATACCTAGTGGAGAGATGTAGTTGGCATAAAAATACCTTCAGAATTTATCCCGATTATTGATAGACATGATGTTGCAACCTGTTAGTGTCATTCTAGTTCCTTTCCAAATGCAGCTTTCTGTGTTCATCTCTTGATTTTTGTTTCAGGCATTTTTCTGTGCTCCTGAGAGCATAGGATGGAGTAGTTCTTAAGTCTCTAACATTCTACATTAAAAACAATACTTTTGGCTGTTGAAGACTCATATTTTGATTCTTAGTACCTCAAATATGAGGGTCTTAATTGGTTTGAAATTTTAGTCTTTATATAAAAAGTGTAAACAGTATTTGTAAGTGGATGAATTGCTCATAAATGGTCTCTTTTCCATAAGAAAACAGTTGTTTGCACTAAATTATGTTGTAGTTACGATTTGCTTTTGCTGAATCATTTTTCTGAAGATTCCTGAAAATAATCCTATTGTAGTTAATGACTCTTTAAATTTCTGTTTAGTCTACACAGTGGAAAAGCCAAGCAAAGGAAAATAAACTTGGAAATCCATTTCCTCATGAATCTGCCTGTGGTGTTGGCAATTTCAGTCCTTTCAAATCAACTGCCAAGGCATTTACTGTATCACAGAATTCAGTGAAAGAGGTAAAGCAATGTCTGTAGTTTCTATCAAATCTGTGAAATGTTTAATTTGGTTAGATGAGGGGATCAGTCCATTTTATGCAGAATTGTGTTAAATAAGTGTTTTTGGAAGTTAATGTGTGAGAAATATAGAAGGCTCGTCACTGGCCTTTAAGTGCTGCACGATTTGCTTTGTAGGTTTGATTTGGAGTAAAATGATGCATTATGAAGTATAACCTGATAGGTTTAAACTTCAAAACTGCTAATGGTATGATAGACTTCAGAAGGTCCACGGTTTATTAGCAGTGCTCCATAAATCTGCATCTCTGGATTTACATGTAAGAACTATATATACTGAAATACAAACATCTTCCCTCTGCTGTTGACCATGGATATATGTGAAACCTGAAACTACAGGTGCCAGAGAGTCTTTTTGTCTTTCATTCAAAGTTTTCTGAATGAATAAACTTATATTTCTTTTTCTAACTCCCTACGTTAGTATAATCGGTCGAATTCTTCATCCCCTGTTGACAAAGTTGGTCAGCCTCGTTTAACAAAATTGACAAGAATGCGGACTGATAAGAAGAGTGAATTTTTGAAAGCCTTGAAACAACATAGAGTGGAAGAGGAACATGAAGATGATAATCATACTGGGCAAGAGAAGGTACTTTTGTTCATACCTATTGTAGATCTGGCACTAGTAGTTTTCAGATGGACTGTAAGCTACTTTTTGTCTTTCAGTAAACAGCTGTTAAGTCATGGTCTTGGATCTCTAAATGAAGGAAAGGAATTATGTTTTGATGGATTTTTAAAAGTTGTGTCAAGTACTACTCTTCCTCCAGTGCTTCTTAGTAGTTTCTTCTTTTCTTTCTGCAGTACCTGTTCATATATATTAATAACTCAGGTACATCTATGTCTTTAGCAACAATAAAAAGAATAAATTAAGGTTAGTACACTAACTTAATCATAGAGTCATATAATTGTTCAGGTTGGAAAGGACCTTTAAGATTGAGTCCAAATGTGAACCTAACACTGCCAAGTCCATCACTAAACCTTGTCTCTGAGCACCACATCTACATGCCTCCAGGCATGGTCACTCAGCCACTTCCCTGGGCAGCCTGTCCCAATGACTGACAACCCTTTCAGTGAAGAAATTCTTCCTCATACCCACTCTAAACCTACCCTGGCACAACTTGAGGCCA